ACTTCAGTTTATATTTTTTTCTTTTAATTTATTGATTTCAAGGATAAAATTGGTTTATAAGTTTAAAATGGACATTAAATATAAAAATTGATTTTAATATTATTATTATAATAAATATAAAATCAAAATATTTTTATTTTTAGACCGAATAATCATATTTATTATAAAATTGAAAATAAAACTCATTTCATTAATATTTTTAATTTTTTTTAGGAGTTTATATTTTTACATGTTCATAATCGTTTAAGAGTTCATATTTATGATAATATAGGTTCATAATCGAGTTTATATCTATAATAAATTTTTTTCTAACCATATAAAAAATTAAAAATAAAATTATAATAATTTTAAAATAGATAATATCTTAAACCTAATAATCTAATCTAACATTTTATATTCATTATGTTTTTTAGTGAACAAATCAGTAAAAAGAAAAGTATATATTTTTATAAAAATGACACGTGAGGGATCACAAGCATCCGCGTTATATGTTTTTTCCATTTTCTCCAGCATTACATCTCCAACCTCTATACCCCCTACGCTTGTTTTATATGCTATGAGTTCTACTGATCCCTCCACATTTTGACTTTTTTCATGTTTTTATAGCATTCTAAAAATCACCAAAGTTCAAAATAAAAGAAAACCCTTTTGTTCATTGATACCATCAAGCAGAAGTGAAAGTATAATACTTAAAATGGAATCATCCAGTGGTGATGGGATCCAACAACAACAATGTGAAAGACAACCAGTCATCTTGCATTTATGGTGCATCTAAGTTCCATGGCCCAACCATCAATTATTCATCTCACTTCACTCCAAATCTCATCTTTCCACCTGTGCTTTCAAAAAATCACAACTACACTCACAATTTCAACAAAATCAAATACAGTCTTTGCATTTTCCTATATTCAGTAATAATTCTATGATATAAGGGTAATAATTAAAGATATTTTGTTATATCTTAAAGCTCTTGGTTTATTTTGTATTATGGACTTTTATTACCTCCTTTTGCTTTGTTTTATATTTCAGGCCTAATTTCTAAATCATAATTATAAATAACTTCTTTATAAGTTAATAAAAAAAATATTCTTTAAATCCATAATATCTATTAATTAGAACATCTCTAATAAAAATTACTAACAAAAGTTATTTAAAAATAAAAAAATATATTTCATTATAGATCACATATTAAAATTATTTAAAATTAAAAAAAATATTTAAAATTAGATAAAAATTACTTATATAAATAATTTTGACTAAATTTTAAATCATTCAGATCTATAATAAAATATTCATATTTATTTTCAAACAACTATTATTACTCTTTTCATACCTTGTTAACTTAACTTATCTTTTAGTAAAAATGAGTTTTTCTATGTTAAAAAAAATAATATTCATTAAAATAATTTTTTAATTATAATTAAATTCTCAATTTTGAGTTAGAACTATTTATTATTGACGTTTTAATTTATTTTTTTTACTTAGTTCAATTTCTTACACCAAATTCCCTTCTTATTTAATGTTGTTTTAATTAATTAAATTAACAATTTGTTTATTTCATTAATGAAAGAAACACAAATCTATAAGTATTTATAGATTTGGTTATATAGTCTTCATACTACTCTAATTGATTTTGATAATCATGCTCTATTAGGTACTATTATTTACACTTTTTTGACAAAAAAAAAACTTGTTTTAATAAAATAATAATTTAACAATTTTGATGTTTTAATATTTTTTTTAAATCATAGGAATAGAAAGAAATAAAAACATTTTTTATAAGCAATATGCAGTTATTAAAAAAAAAAAAACAATTACAGTACAAGAAAGAGAAGAAAATTAAAGACATGGAGAGTTGTTTTACGGTTTTGTTTTGACAAAAATGTCGTCATAGAATTTTGTAACGATAAGTTGTCCCTATTCAGGGTTAGGCTTCTCCTTTCTCATTAGTCTCTATTTCTTTTCTGTTTTCATTGCTGTGAGTCTGCGACTTCTTTGAAAAAAAGTGATTTTTAGGATTATTGACAAAAACACCACCTTCTACTTATATAATAGTATTCACTTAAAAAAATATATTTTAAAAATTAAAATAAAATTTTAAAAATATAATAAAGGAATATTTATCTGTTTTACACCAATATAGTTTTCTTTTCTCACTTATTACGATTAATACTTTAAATAAAAAAATAATTAAGTGAATTGTTCATATAAAGTGTATACCTTTTAAATTAAATATCCTAAAATAAAATTTATTAAATTATTAAGGTGGGAGGTTCAATAATTTATTGTTATGATATTGTTTCAGTGTCGACAATTTTAAACCGTCACCAGAATATTTCTAAATCGAAGATTTTACAAGGAAAGATTTTTCAACTAAAATATCACCACTAGAATATACTTAAAGGATGACAACATGTTTTAAACACATAAAATATTGTTTTTGGTTGATTCTTGGGATATATTTTTCTGATAATTGTTCAGGTATTAAGGTTTACGTAAAATAAATAAAAAATAATTTGATCCATTAAATAAATATTGTCTTATTTCAAAAGAAAAATTATCATTTACTATAATTTTAACAAATAGATTATTTACCTAATAAACTATTAATATTAGATATAATAAAAATTTAAGTTGATATATATATATATATATATATATATATATATATATATATACTTTTTTTTGGGGAAATATCCAATAAAGGTTTCTTTGTGATGAAAAATGTTAAACCTCTGTGAGTTCTTAAATCATCTCCATTTTACAATATATCAAGAATAATAGTTGTTTGAGATATTTAAAAAAAAAACTTTAGTATGTGGTTTTTAAAATAATAAAATTGTAATTAAATTATAAAAATTAAAATTTGATATAAATTACTTAATTTTTAATGAAAACGGTAAGATCTAATTTTAATAAAAAATTAAAGATAAATTTTTTAAAGATAATTTATTTAAAAAATAAAAATAATAACTATTTTATTATATTATTACTACTTTATTAATTATTATAATTTTTATTATAAGATTTATAACTTTTATTATAAGATAACTAATATGAACCTTTTTTATTATTATATATTTGTTTACATGTTATTTTTTAATAAATTTATCATTTTATGAAAAAATTATTTATTTAAATTCAATTAAATCTTAATTGAACATTTGAATTTATAATTTTTTGAATTTATTTTTAATTATTAATTTGATTTTTAAAACATTATTTGTGTTGAAACTAAAAATTAAATACTTATTTATGGTCCATTTATTATGATATTTTAATAGTTATTATGAGATCATATTTTATAATATTAAATTATTTTAAATATTATATTTTTATAACTAAATCAACGAAGAATTAATAAATAATTTTTTTATATTTTATTTATTCTTTGAATAAATAGAATCCTTTTTAAATAAAATATCAGTTTTTTTATATCTACTTTTCAGATCAATTTATAATTTTTTAAGATAGTTTTCCTTACTTTTTATTTATTTTTATTTTTTATATTATGAAGTTCCATTTCAATTATATTTATTTATATATTAAAAAGGTTATTATTACCACTTAAACACTCCAATGCCTATCTTTTAGTAATTCTGTATAGATTTGATGAAAAGAATAAAAGAGAAATAAGTGTTGGGTTGTAGAAAGCTATTGTTATAACTTTATTGATGAGTGAACATAAATGGTTATATAATATAAAAAAAAGAGGCTAATTTAAAAAAAAAAAAGGATTTTTATAGTTAATGATTTCTTCTTTAAATTTAGCAAAGCATCATGCATAGAGTTCATTCACATAAATTTTTTAAAAAGAAATCTGTAGTAATCAATTAAATTAAATACCTTCTTAAATAGTAATATGTATGATTAAACTTGTAAAATTTGATAGTAGGAAGACAAAAGTAGGATCTGAAAGAGGAAGTGAAATAGAGTATTAATTATGCAGATGAAGAGTGTGTGATTAATTTAGTAAAGTGGTAAAAAATGGTAATATTATGGTGGGTGTTGGGTTGGGGTAATAGAGAAAGGAGTTGATGGTTCTCAAAATCAGGGCAAATTCGTCGTGTGGTAGAAGAGAGTGGCGCCCAATACAGAACCAATTCTCTTTCCTACGCAGCGGTCACGTGCGGTCTGAGGTATTCTCATCGTGCTTTTCGCTTGGTCTCTGCAACACCACCCCACACTCCTCACTCTCTGCTCGCTCGCTGCCTCCACTGCACCACCACCACAACACAACACAAAACAAATACATTAAATAAGTAAAACAAAATAAACCATCTCAGCGTGACACTATCACACTCAGCCATTTCATTTCATTGCCTTAACAAAACCTCAAATCTCAATCAAAACCCCAATCAAAACCCCTCCAACTTTGCTAAATAGGTTCGTACAGAAACTTGCAGTGGCAGGCTTTCTCTCAGCCGTCTTTACTATTTATAATTAATACCCTTTACCATTAATATTACACCATGCACAAAATATGTGCTTTCTTCTCTCCATTTCTCACACTCTCCTCAGATTCTTCTTTTTAATTTTTTTTTTTTCTTTCTTTCTCCCTCCCTCCCTCCCACTCGTGCCCTCCCTGTACAGTCCACAATAATGACTCTCTTTCTACTCTCATTATCACTCTTTTCAGTTACCACTTTTTTTTCCTTTTCAAATTTAATTCAATTCAACTCAGCTCAAATCCCTCAACTCAACTCAAGTCTGGATTTTGATTTAATTATTAGTTTATTAGTATTTTTCTGGGTTCTGGGTGTTTCTTAATTATCCCTTGTCAGAGACCCTATTTACTGCCCCTGCCACAGTCTTTTCGTATGGTATTCACACCTAACCTCATTTGCCGCTTCTTCTTTGTCACTTACCATTACTGTTACTTGTGCCCCCTTCCTTAGTGCATCAACAAGGACTTCTGCTATTACTGCCTGCTACTCCTGCCATTTCTTGTTCTGTCCATTTCACCTTCCTCTCTCTTTCTCTCTCCCTCTCTCTCTTCCATGGCCACCACTCCCACCCTGCGTTCTTCTTCCCTTCCCTCTCTGCCTCCTCCCTCCCCCAAATCCCCGCCGGAGTACCCAGATTTGTATGGCAAGCGCCGTGAAACTGCCAGGGTTCACATGCTCGAGAGGGAAATCACTTTTCTCGAGGTGGGTGTTTCAGTTTTTGTTTCCTTTCCAAATTCCACTCTCCCCTCCTACACCCTTTTTCAGTAACTTCAATATTTCGGTTCTTGAGAATGTGTTGAGGTTTCGAAATGGAGGGAGTGTAATGTAATGTAACATGTCGCTTGCAACTATCCTGTGATGGCAAATTGGCATGGCATTTTCATGATTGTCTTTGAGCACGAAACAGAGTAATTAATGAGGTGATCTCTGTCAGGGTTTTGTGGCTAGTTTAGTTAGGTTATCTGTGAGTCTGACTTTATTTTATTTTATTTTATTTTTTAAAAAGGTGAGAAAGTTTTGAATCTTCCCACAAATTCATTGCCTCTTTCAGTGATCTTCTGTCTTTCGAGGTTTTCTAACGGTTTGATCAATAATTTACTAGTTTACTGTGGTTAATGTGAGGAGGTAGCTACCCCTTACTAATTTACACACAAAAATACTGTTTTCTTTTGCGGAATCTTTTAGTTGTGGATGCTGATTGATTGTTTGGAAACAATAAAGAAGGATGAAATGAATGATTTGAAAGTATTTTTGTGTAATTATTTATTCCCCTTCCGCTCTATGTTGTTAAATGTGGTTTAGAATAGTACTAGCAACTTGTAACATGATGCCACCATGATTGTACAGTCAAACTTGCCAACTTCGGTTGAGTTTGTGCAGTTTCTTTCTGGCATCTTTCGGTGTCAAAATCAATTTACTGACAAATTTGCATCTAGCAGGAAGAATTGAAATCTGTTGAGGGTCTTCAACCAGCTTCAAGATGCTGCAAAGAGTATGTTTGTTTGTGGAGTTGCTCCAATGCCTTTTAGATTATGAAACTTGAGAAATCCCTTCGGATGTTTGAGTTATTATAGTTTGCAGAATGCACTTTGTTGATTGAATGCCACTATATTGCAGGGTTGCTGATTATGTGATGGCAAATGCAGATCCTCTGTTGCCTACGTAAGATTTGTTCTCATCATTAATCATTTGTTACTGTTTAAAAGAGATCATGATTCTTACGCCTGCTTTTATTTCGAGCAGAACCAAGAAGAACAGCCGATCATGCCGATTCTGGAAGTGGCTCTGGTACCACTTGTTTATCCCCTTACTTTATGTGTATACCAACAGTATATGTATAAAAAATTGGTTTCAATAATGCAAATAGATTAAACAAGTTTTATACAAATATAATAACTATATTACACACAAAGAACTAGCTGTCTTTTTTCTTTTTATTAAATAGTAAATTAAATTTTTCATTTCTTGGTATCTATCCGATGCAACACTGTTTAGTTTGTTTTCCCACACATGTATTTGTTTGTTGAAAGAAATGTATGACAAGAAAAAGGTTAAGCATCAATCTCAAGCAAATCTCTTCCTCTCTTGCCCCTTTATAAAATTTGAGTATTTTTCTTGTCAAAAGAAAAAACTAATGACTAATGAGAAGCACCCTTTCTGTGAATACTATGGTTTAACTTTAAGGAACAACACTCTTGTGCTATTCCAAGTTTTAAAGATTATGCCATGCTATCTTGTCTTCTTTTATTTTTCTGCATAAAACAAGCATATTTGAGTGTTTCTGAATCATGCATTCTGCAAATGGGTGTTGAATGTATATCTGAGCTTAAGATAAACAGTAGTTGCCTACAGAAAATGATTGATAAGCCGGTTAAATTTCATCATTTATTGAAGCAGCATCTCCTTTCATTTCATAGTAAGTCTTATTTGATAACAGTCATGATTCAAGAATAACACAATTAACTTTCTTTTTTTGTGTGTGCAGTGGCATGCCCTGTTTTAACCTCTCTTGGATCTGCTGCTGCTGTTACTGCTGTGAAGGATTATCTTTACCACTAAAATTGCCAGGCTGCTGCTGTGACTGCAAACCATGCAGTTGCAGTTGCAGTTGTCTTCCTTCCATCAAATGCTGCTCCTTACCAAAGTGGAGCTGTTGTTGCTCTTGCCCCAAATCATTTTGCTGTAAAGAGAGCTGTGGTTTTGGAAATTGTTGTACTCTTCCAAGTAGTTGCAATTTTGGGTGTCCAACTTGTCCATCTTGCCCCTCTTGCTGCAGTTGCAAATGCACCTGCACTTGCTCTTGCCCAAGCTGTCCAAAGGTAAGCTCAGGTTGCTGTTGTACAAAGTCATGTTGGAGACCTTGTTGTTTATGTTGCTAGTATATTCTTTCCAAAAGGAAAAGCAGAAAAAAGAAATCTGATGCTTTTGTTATCAAAATTGCATTCATAATAGCTAGAGTATAAATTTTGGAAATATAAAGGGTTATAAATGTTGTAAGTTAGATTTATGGATACTTGAACCAAATGTAGTAGCTCCGCTTGTAATTGTGGGTCATATAAGATCGATCCTTTGCTGTTGTCAATCTCCAATGTTGCAAGTGAATGAAAGACGCAATAGTAGAAAAAAATGGCTACATGCTTCGACAGCTTAATGAATGTTTGTTCCATTTCTTGTATAGCAGAAAGAAGAGTAGTATTAATCTATCGTTTTAATGGACCTTGATAGCTAAGCTAAAGGCATTTGGGTTTTTGTTACATGTTGTAACCGGTCAGCTTCTTGAAAACACGATAAGGATAAAGCAAGCGTTTTATCTCCGAATACAGAAAAGAAAAAGTGTTTTCTTTTTTGTCTTATTGATTTTTTTTCCTCAAGTTTCAATCCCTGTGGTCCTACCAGAAAGTTGATGATCGACGAAATAATCAAATGGCACGGCAGGAAAATAAGTGATTGCTGTGAACTACCTTTTTCTGCATAACTGACACAGGACACAGGACACAGGAAATGTCTTTTCATTTGGTACACCGATTAGTAGCCATTCATGGCCATGATCGTTTGGAATAAGACCCTTCGAAGTAACTAGTAATTAGTAATTCAGAGGAAGTGTTAACTTTGAAATGACCGTGTGTAGTATGTACTGCGGTAGAACATGCCACCACCTTTAACTGCACGCCTGTACCCAACAGGAAAAAAAAAAAAAAAAGAAATATCCATCAATTGCACATGGGGTGCTCAGGAGTGCAAAATTGTCCGTGATCTGTTTCCATATTTGTGAAATCGGTCACCCCATCCCGGGATCAGCGAAAAACTCAAAATATAGTCGTTACTTGCATTCTCCCTCTGCCTCTTTCATTTAACCTCTGCTTCAGTTTGAAATTCTTCTAATTAATGTAGCTTTAGTAAAAACTTGCACACTTAAATTTTGGTGTTATCCATGATCTGGGGATATGCACCATACAATGCATCTTTGAACGACAAATGTGATTCTGAAACTTTGAAATTAATAGTAAAAGACATTGTTGCTTGGTAGATAGCGTTATGACACGTGAGGAACTGATATGTTGAGGACTGTCATCTTACTTTAGCTTTTACAATCTGTTATTACAACAACTTCAGTCTGGAGTGATGACAACTGCAATGTGCCTAAAGACTACTAAAGTGATGCAGCTTCTTTCCTTTAAACTCTACACCCTATGACCTAGTGCTGTTGGACTATAAATAATAATAAAAACAGTGTACAGTCACAGCACAACCTCAAAAATATGTCCATGTGAAAACAACAGGGCTCCTAACTTGGTGCTGTTCATTGCTCCACGTGATGCTACCAAAATCAGACGCACCCGAATCATTGACACTCCTATTTGACACAAACGTGACAGTGTATGAATGGCATTCCCCTACTTCTCCAAATGAAAGCCTGTTAGGATTAACGGTTATGTCCACAGTAGAGGGTGCGGTAACTGCCATGTCATACACAGATCCCGGCTCTCCCACATTGGTCAACGTGCGCTTGTACTGAACAACCTTATTGGTTCCGAAAACAACAGAGAAAGATGGATAATTGAGGTGACCGGGGTCAGCAAATTTTGTAGAACAATTGGCGTCGGGGTGCTTAACAAGGACCCTGAGATGGTCGATGGTGTAGTTGAGGGAGCACAGAAAAGCAATGTAGTCCTGCGTGGAGGCATCATAGACAAGGCCAGGAGAAAGGGCCTTTTGTGGATTAACATGGCCGGCCCCATAGGCCCATGGTGTGGAGAGGGCTTCTTCTCCCGTTGCATCACGAAGCGGAGACTGTGTGTTGTCATGGGTATAAGCCGTTGTCATGAGTGCAGATTTGATCGCACTTGGACTCCAATCTGGATGAGCCGCTTTCAACAGCGCAGCCAACCCACTTATGTGAGGACAAGACATGGAAGTACCAGACATGATGTTGAACCCAGTTTTGCGACTGTCTTCAGACCCAGATGGCCCAACAGCACCGCTCCAACCTGCTAAGATGTTCACTCCAGGCCCAATTACATCCGGTTTAAGTATCTGGGCCGTTACTCCATTGGGCCCGCGAGAGCTGAACGCTGCCACCACGGGAGAGGGCCTCACGTTCAGCACGGTCCCACCAAAGCTAAGAACAGCAGTTGGATTAGGATCCAACAGCGCATACTCTCTAATCTCATCACCCGCGCTTTCACCCACCGCCACGGCGGCCACAAGATGACTATCCGCCACCAGTCCCTCCCCGCTCATCGCCGTGTTCGCCAGTATCATCCCCACCCCACCCGCATCCCGCACAACTGTGCCCTTCTCCACGCGCGCGTTAAGCCCTCTGTCACAAACCACAACCTTCCCGCGCACGGCCTCCGGGTCGAGCGAGCCAGGCATGCAAATGCTGCTCGACGAGTTCGACCGGTCGCTGAAATATACCAAACCAACCGGTTCGTCTCCCATCCCTTCTCCGCTGTAAAGCGAAACGCCGGCGAAGCGTTTCCCGTTCCCAAGAGTAGCGTACGCCGGAAAATCACGGTCCAGTGTGCCGGCTCCGACGGTCATGATCCAGGGAGCGACATTAGCAACAGAACCGCTTCGAGGTCCAGTATTCCCTGCCGAACATGAAACGAATATTCCTCTCTCGACTGCCGCGAAGGCTCCAATAGCGACGGTGTCGAAATAGTAAGGGACGGAGGAGGAGCCGCCGAGGGAGAGCGAGAGGACATCGACGCCGTCCTGGATTGCCTGGTCCATTCCGGCAAGAATGTCGGAGGCGAAACAGCCGTCGGTCCAGCAGACTTTGTAGGCCGCCACGCGCGTCTGCGGCGCCATCCCGCGCGCGGTGCCGGTGGCGTAGCCTAGAAGCGTGGCATTGGCGACGGCGGAGCCGGAGGCGGTGGATGCTGTGTGCGTGCCGTGGCCGTCAACATCACGAGGCGAGGCAAGGTCTCTGGGCTTCCTGGCGTTACTAGAAGCCATGCGGTAGCCCTTGGAGAAACTACGGGCGCCGATGAGCTTGTTGTTACAAAGAGAAGGGTCAAAGTCAGGTGCGGACTCGCAGCTACCGCGCCAGCGCGTGGGGATTTTGGGCATTTGGGAATCGTCGAAGCTTTGAGATTCCGGCCAGACGCCTGTGTCAAGGATCCCAATAACGACGTCGTGCGAGGCCTGATGGAGGTCTTGCCAGAAGGCGGAATGGGCCTGGAGGCCCAGGAACTCGGGAGTGCGTGTTGTATGCAGCTTGTAAATCGTGTCTTCGTAGATGGCCAAGACATCGTGAGAAGTGCGGAGCGCTTGGGCTTGTTGAGGGTCGAGCGTGGCAGCGAAGCCGTTGTAAGCAGCCGTGTAACCGTAGAGTATAGACTCCGGAGAAGAACGGAGCGTGGCAGTGTACCACTGAAGATGCGTCTGGTGCAGGGAAGGGTCGTGGCGGTGTTTCATGTGCACTATGTACGTCTTCTTCTTTGCAATTACGATTGTGAGTTGGAGCAGGAGAAGTAGAAGGAGAAGGCGGGAGAAGATGGAAGAAAGGGAAATTGAATATGACTCCATCTCTTTCCCTTCTTTTTCTTTAATCACACCATTACCATTCAAGATTCAAGAGAGCAATGCCACTGCTCCTGCAACCATTACAAAAAGGTACCAACTTCTTTCTCAAATTCATCATATTCACCCCAACACTTTGTCACCCTTTATTTTAAATTCTCATATGTTTAGGATGCCCCTTGGGACTGTGAGAGTGAGAATTTAAAGAGAGGAAAAATATGAGGGTATTTTTTATTTTTTTAAAAGATGACATTTGTATTTATCATAATAAATACAAGATTATAACATTAATTTTATTTTCTGAAACTCAATTATCATAAATACAGCCGCATAGAACACTCAATATCAACATCACACCAGTGATCATCTTACTACTGCATATCTACCAAATATATGTGGGATAAATTTCTATATAAATTGTTTTATGCAAAAAAAAAAAAAAATCCGAAAATACGAGGCCATGGATTTGACAGCTGGAAGCGCATCACCATAGAGGGTCCACTCATTTCTTTACAACTCCTTTCCATCTTTGTTAAGATGGTGTTATGTTTTAATGTACTATTTTGGATTGTTTTTTCCTCCTTAAATCTTAATAATAACTTCTTTTGTATTTGAATCTTGATGATTACTATCTTCATTCATTAATTGGAAAGAATTATCTGTATATATTGAATTCAGGTGAAACCAAATATACTATGTACCAATAAAGTCTTAAAGAAAAATATATTACTAAAAACTAAATATTACATTTAAATGTTAAACATGATGTTGCATTCAACTATATATTTATCTTTAGCTAAACTTTGTTTGTGTTTAATAGAATGTTACTGCATAACATGATATGGTGTTGGAATGAAATTAAGGAATGATTGGATGCTTAATTTCTTTTCTGTTTAAACTTTTAGTTTAACTATTCATTCCAAAGTATAGAGTAATATTTAATAAAGAATTCCTCTGTTTTTGTGCAGACAAGGTACTATTCTTTTCCCTCCTTGTTTTGCTATCCACTCACGGGCTCGGCAATGAAAAGAACAATATAAGAAAGAAACAATTATAAAAACGAAATAAAACAAAAAGTAGGAAGAAGACAAGGAGATGAATGATGTGCATTCTTTATTGATTTGCTCCAGTAACAAGTTTTCTTGTTAGACAATGGACATCCAACTCATGTGCTGAACAGTGTATCAGTGCCTCATTAAAGTTCGATATTCTTTTTACAAGTGACGGATGACAAAATAATACAAGACATCAAAATTCTTTTTATAAGTTTAAAAATTAGTTATGTACTTTCATTTTTGGAAAAGTCAGATGATTTTATTTTATTTTTTCAAAAAATCAACATACAATTAACTATTTACGAATATGTTTTTATTTTGTTTAAAATACATAGAAAAATTATATTTCTCTCTCTCTCTCTATATATATATATATAACTCTTTCCAAGCCTAAAATTTTATAAATGTATATGGACACCTTTTAGTCTTAAATGGCTGCATTTTTGTTTTTTTTTTTATTCTTATTATGTTATATAATTTATAATATATATATATATATATATATATATATTTATATTTTTTTAGTATCTATCATCAAGTGTTACATAATATTATGTTTTAGGGTGTTGGTGAATATTTTTCAATTTTATAAATGTTAGCATATCAACTCTAGTTGTGTGTCCCCCGAATGTTGGGAATGAAACAAAATTTATGTTTTATATTTTGCAATCAACACAATTTTTGTGTACCATCAATCACTACCATGCAAGTAATATTTTATATTATGCACAGATTATTATAATTTTCAATAATTTTTTCTTTTAAGCATATATTTAATATCAAATCTCTAATACACATATGTGATTACATGTTGGAATGGTTCTCTTGTTCACGTGTATACTTAAAATAAATGCATAATTTGTATTTACATGTACTACTAATAAATAGATACTGTAAAAATAACCATTTTAAAAGTACAACATGAATCTCCCATTCAATGTTTTGTCCTTCACTTCTACAAAAATTACAAAATTTATGAAGATATTTTACTCTGACACATAGTCACGGGTTTATATAAACTATCCAAATAGTTTTTATCTTTTTTAAATTCATGAATAAGCCAAGTGGTGTTACTGGTGCGTACATGCATATTATTTCATAATAATAATAAAATCATTTTTTTACTACTTGCAAATATTATAATAACTTTTATATTTTTAATACTTTATGACATAAACAGTATTTATTTGGACTAAGGAATAATTTTACATGGGAAAATGTGTGCACAGTTACATGTTATCTAAATTAAATAAATAATTATATTTTAAATGTTATGTTTGATACAATTCACTTATTATTAATATGTTTAGATAAATTTATGTCTAAATAAAGAAAAATAATTTAATATGTAATTTCATTTGTATTAAATTTTAAAGTTTTTTTATATTAATTTTTAAAATTTAATTTAAATTTATACATTAATTAATTTATTAAAAAATTTGTTTACATCCAAATAAATTTATTTATTTTGAAGTGATTTTTCAGTAAACTTCTCAAACAAAAGTAATATAATTTTCAATTGTTATTAGAATCTATGATTTTATAACACCAAGATTTTCATTTTTCTCACTCTAAATTTATTTCTCCTTCCTGAAAAACACTTCACACACTATGTATGTAGGTAATTCTATCAAATATTTGTATTGAAAATACTCTCTTATAATTCAATTTCAATAAATTTAAATTTATCAATCATTGTAAAAAATATTATATTATCAATCAGAGAGCTAGTATTGCTCATGCCGAACAACACACGCTAAGTTCATCCAATCTCAATTTATCACAGGCAGTGCCATTGCAAAAATTAATATTTCAAATATTAAAATATATTTTTTAATTACAATTTTAATTATTAGGGAATGATTGTTTATTACATAAACTAAAATACTAATTTTATTTAATATTAAATTATTCGTTAAAATTTAAATAATTTCATTAAATTGGTAAATAAAAATGTCCTAAAATTATATATTGACTATAAATTTATTGGCAAAGTATGATGAAATCATAGTTAGATGATACCAAAAGATCCATTTTTATTTTAAGTTAAAAAATTACAAAATCAAAACTTACATTCCATCGATTATTAGGTTTAGACATGGCCAATAATAAGTTTGGTGTGGTTTATAAACTATTATAGTGTGGTTCTTAATTTGACATTTTCTTTAATTATTTTAGTAGTTTCTGTTTTGTTTTTTGGTTGAACCGTGTTTTGTTTTATGTAAATTCCATGGAAAGAAAGAGATTGGACAAGAAGTTTAAGAAAAGTAGAAAAGAAACTTAAAATGATTCCAAATATGTGAATATGCCATAAGGAAAATTCTGAGTTAACACCCATCTCACCCTAATCTACACACTAGGCCCCTATATACAAATATAATAAAATTTCAAAGTTATTTTCTTTTTAGAACTTTCACAGCTTATTATACGAGTTTGATATAATAAAAATAGTTTAAAAATAATTTATAAATAAATATTTTTACCTATTGCTATTCAATTAAAAACAGCATATAAATTGACTTTTTTTATTTTTATAAAAATTATCCTAAAAATCATATTAAATGTTGTGATTATTAAATGACAGTGTATAATTATTTTGCTGTATGAATGTATTATCATTGAACTCTTTCAAATATCAATTTTAAAGCAAAATGTATTAATATATATATATATATATATATATATATATATATATATATATATAATTTCGCAGATTTAAATTTATTATATCTATAGGAGATTATTAGTTAAATTAAAACAACAAACAATTTAAATGGTTGATATATGACTTAATTTTTTCCACTTTTAAATCATAAAATTTAAATATAATTCTGTTTTAATTTTTAAAAATTTTAAAACAAACAAAATCAATATTTTACTATTGATTCGAACGATATTTATAATTTTTTTATCAAAAAATAGTTAAATATATTTTAATACAATAATTATTGAATAAAAAAATATTATAAAATCATAATATCTAATTAATTATGATATTTATATTTTTATATTTAATAATAATAATAATAATAAATATCTTAAATTATAAGAAAACTAATTGATTTACCATACATTTTATTATTTCATGATTTAATTTGAGTAGTATTATAATTTTTGTTGATTCGATTTGTGCTAATGTTAAACTGAAAATCAAATTTGTCGATTTTAAAAATTTGTAATAAAATAATTTAAAAAATTATTTTTAATCAGTTTTTTTCTTTTTATGGATTTTCAATTTTAGTTTTGCGTTCTTTCATTATTCTCTTGCCTGTTTTACTATCTCTTGTCTATCATAGTTATTACTTTTATTGATTTCATTAATTCAAGTTTAACCCTCTTTTTTATTCTCTCATTAATTATCATTGTTATTGTTTTGTAAATTTATCATATACTATGCTATTTTAAATAAGAATAATTAATTGTGTGAGATTCTTTTAATACAATCAAAAGTCTTGAAATTTGAGTCTAGTTAAATACTGAGAGATACATAGTGTTAACACATTAGTAAAGGAAAAGTTTAATATAGTAGAGAAGTAGTAGCAACTAATTTCATGCATATATGTTAATTCTCATTTAACCATAATTTAGCAGCCATTCTTTTAACCACAGAAAATAATTTTAACCATAAGCACAATTGAATTAATATTATCAATTTGAGCTCATTATTTAGCAGCCATCAACAACAAAAGAATCTGTAGAATGTTTAACCATTTTTCTTTCTTTAATCCTTCCATTAAACTTATTTAGACAATAAATTTTAATGTTTTTAAGAATCCAAATATAATCATTAATCACTTCCATTGTCCCCCAAATTTGTAAACTCGTGCACTTGGAAGAAATATTCCAAAAATACAAATTGAAAGCTATGTCTAAAAGCTTTAAAAGAAAAAGGACAAAAAAAAAATACCATGAATGCATCTGACCAAGTCTTTTATATCCTTGAGGGAGATG